GTGTGTGTGGCCAGTTCAGCGCACCAGGGGGCGGGGCTGGCTGGCATGTGGTGCTGGGGGATTGAACTGCGGTCCCTGTGCTTTGCTAAGCTTGTTCTTAATAGGTGCTTTAGACCACTGAGCCATCTCACCAGCCCCAAAATTGACTTCTTAATAACCAAATTTTATTTTGTCTTCTAACTTTTGATTCTTGTTCTCACTAGTTGTTACAAAATGCATTAAAGGGCATACAGTCACTTCTCAATGGTGGGAAGATGAAACTGACACAGACTGAAGAACTTGGAGCACTTCTAGCAGTGCTAAAGGTAAGGCAAGCTACCTTTGGAGCAGTAATTTTCCTGTGTAAATTCCAGACATGAGAACCAGTTTGCACACTGCTCTGAGGCTACCTTTAATGTGTTAAAACTTTGTGTGTGTGCATGTGTGTGTGTGGGGGGGGGTGTGTTTTAAAGAAAACTGAATAAAAATGTTCATATTCAGGCATAGTTAAATATAGAGAACATCTTTGATTAAATAAATGTATCAAAATTTTACAATTCCAGTATCTTTGATTCCTAGAAGGAAGTAGGTTGTAAGACAGGATTTGTAAGTAATTTAATTATAGGTCTTGGACCTGTTCTTACTTGTTTATATTTGAAAGAAGAGCCAGGCCTTCTCCTTAGCAAACTCCTCCCATAGTAGGCAGCCATGCAGATGCATGTCAGCAGGCTACTGTCGCTGGCTTCTGAGCCAGCCAGGCAGTGGGAAAGTTGGGTTTTCTCTCTGGGAACCCAGCTGTCTTGAGTTCAGCTACAAAAGAGGAAGAAGTTTTTTACTGGCCTTACTCAGGTCAGCGCTATGTCTGACAGTCTGGCTTTATCCTGACTAAAAATTTTTTTTCCTATACCTTTCTCTTAATCACTAATAAAGACAGATACTTAGATGTGGAGGTAGATTAAAAAAACATAAAAATAGTAAATTAGTTTTTTAAATTATAGTAGTCCCTCACTATTCAGAATTTGACTTTCATGGACTATTTCATGAATTTTAAAAAAACATTAAGTTATCGCAGGAGCTGGTGACATAGGTATACAAAATTGTTCAAATAAGTAAACATTAATGCTTACTTTCAATAAACTTCAATTTTTCCTTGTCTTTTTTTAAAATTTATTTTAGGGCAAGCTAGATAGCTCAGTAGTCTAAAAGTGTGTGCTTAAGCAAGCTTAGGCAAGTGCAGGGGACAGCAGTTCAATCCCCTGTACCACATGCCACACCAGCCTCAGCCTCAGGGCAGGCTGAACCTGCAAATGAATAAATAAATAAATAGATTATTTGTTGTGGATATTTTGCTGTATCACAGGATTTTTCAGTAGTATACATAGTATACATTAGTATATAAGTATTTATGTGTAGTATTTGTGGGTTTTTTTTCCTTTTTTTTGGTGGAACCAGGGATTGAACTCAGACCCTTGTGCTTGTCAAGCAAGCGCTTATTCTACTGAGCCATCTCCCCGGCCCCAAAAATGTAGTATTTATGGTATAATGATTTTTGCCTAAAATTTTTTAAATATATTAAAAATGTTAATTCTAACATATTAAGAGAATATTAAAATAAAATATACTGTTTGCAGTATGTATTTCTTTAGCTGATGAATACAGTATACTATACAGTATACATATACTGTTAAAATTACATAGATTTACGAGTTTAATAAATGATTAAGAACATTAGAAGGGCCAGCCAAATATTTCAGCAGGGGCTGGGTGTTTGATTCCTGGGCCTGCTGTTCCAGCCCTGCCCCCGGAGCATGCTGAGATGGCGATTGAGACTGGGTGTGGTGGCACACACCTGTAATCCCAGCTCTTGGGAGGCTGTAAACAGGTGGATCACTAGGAGTCCAATCTAATAGTGACACCCTGAACACCCTGTAGACCCTTCCCAAAAAAAAAAAAAAAAAAAAAAAAAAAAAAAACATTAGAAGTGTTTTTACAACTGTGGGGAAGATTTACAAGAGTGTAGGAAGGATTTATAAAGCCTTAAAATATATATAAATACTAAAATATAATGTCGCTACTTCACTGACTTTCACTTATTGTGGGGGTGTCTGGAGCATAACCTTTGTAATAAGTGAGGGACCCCTGTACAGGTAGATAAAACAACTGCACTGGAATGATTGGCTAGGTCAAATAAACAGATACACTGAAATCAGACCTACTCAGGTGTTGCTAAAACAAATCCAGCTTAAATGAGTTTAAGCTCTTTTTTAGTGCCTAAGGCTTCCAGGTATCTATTTTTTGTCCCATTTTTATTCCTCAGTAGCCTTTTAAACATGCTTCTATTTGTATTCTAACCCATGCTGAGGTAAATCATTCTGTGGCTTCATGTTTTCTGTGTGTTTCCATATTCGCCATTATTAGAAAACCATGTTTCATGGACTCCCTGGACTAAACATAGAGATGCCCACGGTGCTTTACCCAACTCCACTTCCTCAGTATGATGGGCGACCACCTGTCAAACCTCAGCAGCCAGAATCCAGTGCTTCTCGACCTGTTACGGTATGTTTATGTCTGCTTAGATTTAAGTCATGGATTGTTTTGAGTAACTTTCTATGCATGTTTGCTATAGGGGCATCATTGTAGCCCCCAAAACCCACCTTGAATTTGGTATTAATTTAGGGTATTTAGTGTGTAGTAAATTCAAATTTATCAAGACTGTTGCAAATACCAGTTAAAGTACCTTGTGCTTCCACGGGGGCCAGGCAGTATACATGAGCATGTACTTTATCTCCAAAGCCAAGCATCCTCACCCCCCAAAAGGTTAAGACAAGAACTGACTCACTCTATAAGGAGGTGACTGGTAAATACCTTAGGTCTCCATCATCATAGTACAGACGCAGCCGTGGATACACTGGAAATGTGCAGGCATAACTATCTTCCATTAAAATTATTTACAGAAACAGGCTGTGGCCAAGGCTGGATTTGGCCTTAGAGTCATACTTTGCCAGCACCTGTGATGATTATTAGAAGCTCCCCTATCTATCTGCTCACTGTGTCCATACTCTTTACATTCACCAGATTTCTCAGCCTTTCCAATAGCGGCCATGTTCCTCATGTTTTGATTAGAAAATATGGAGAGTACAGGTACTCATATAAAAGCATAAATTTCATATCCCCAGAAAGTCAATACATGATTGCAAATGCTTAAAATTAGAAAATCTTTCACTCTGAAAAATGATGTGATTAGATTTGCATCTCTAAAAAGCTACAATGGTAGCAAGTACTATAAAAGAGAATGAGTGTGACCCTCAGTAAGTAACCCAAGGTAGAAGAGATGAAGGCCTTTGTCCTCAAGGCAAGGAACTTTGAGCATACAGATTCCAAAGATACCTGAATATCAGAAGGAAGGAGGAGAAAAAAAAAAAAAAAAAAAAAACTGCCTCTCACTTAAAATCTATTCTGATGTATCCTCAGGGCCCCAGGACATGAATTATATGTAATTAGTTACAATTCTGTGTGCATGCACCTAGAATGGTATTGGTTTATATCTTAATTGGGAAAACTGAGAAAATAGATACCCAAGTTGTTTTCCAAGTTGATTGTTCTGTGGAATCCTAGTTGAGACAGCTGAATGCTTTCACTGTATCTGTAAGGTAGGAGTATATAGCCTCATACTTATACCGGGGGAAGGCCAAGCCCAGAGAGGTTACATGATTTGCCCAGTCACAGTGGTAAAATTTAAACTGGGTCCACTTGTTTTGCTCTGTCCAACAAACCTCATATTTAAGTTCTTCCAGTCCAGGATGATGTAGTAAACACTTAGCATTATGCCTGATACAAAAGCTATTGAATAAATGCTACCTTTTTTATTTTCTCCTATCTTCAAATTATGTGTTGGGAACATCTTTAGTTACCTTCAAATGAGGGTTTTAGCAGTGATTCAGTTAAAAACTATTCTGAAATAGCTATCAATATCTGTCATATGTATATGTCTTCATTTGCTCCTAAAAATCAGAATAAAAAGAAAAAATCCAAGGTAAAACCAAAGAAAATCCAGCAAGGAGATGAGGAGGAAGAAGAATTCGATGGGGAAGCAGAAGCAGCTGCAGGCAGTGGCACCTGGGGTTCCTCTTCCGTGGGTGTCCAGAGTTTACCTAGAAATGAGAGTGGAACTTCTGGAAAAGCCCACGTCTCCTCCCCTTTCCGGTCTTCCAGTTGGAAAAGAGTTAGCAGTAGTGAATCGGATTATTCTGATGCAGAAGGAAGCATGCAGGGTAAAGTGAGGTAGTAGTATTTTGTTATATTTGTATACCTTGTATTTTAAGTTATATGTAAGTTTATGCTTAAAAATATGACCATTGCATGGAATTGATGAAAATTCTCATTTTAATGAGGTTTTGCATTACTCTGAATATGTGTTTCTCTTTTGATCTGTATTTGTCCAGATTATTGCTGTCTCTGGAATAGTGTTTCCATCATTTTTTTATTATTGTTTGGTTTTTTGTTGCTGTTGTTGCATTCTGGTCTTGTTAGCCACTATTCATCTTTAATAAGAACTAAGAGATCATATTCTCTGGGAAATTTTTTCCATTCTTCCCCTCCTGGTTCTGGTGTGGTACCCTTTTGTGTAACCCTTTGACTTCATTCTGCCCTGGTGTTATTCACAATGTGTTACAGTTATCTATCTTATCAGTGCCACTAAAATGTTTGTTAAGGGCGGAAGCTTGCTCATGCCTCCCTGCCTCAGCCTCATGCCTGGCACAGGCATAGAAGCTCATTTGGTTTTTTTGTGGAATGGATGGATGCAGACTCCACATTATTTAATATCTAACACTAACTTCCTAACATCAAATATTACCCTCTGATTCTCTCCTCATTGTTTGTGGTCAGCCTTAACACCTTGCTATATTGAGCAAATTGCCTTATTAAGTTTTGATTATATTTTTAAAAGATTTTGAATACTATATTAACATCTTTAGGGACTATTCAGAAAGCTTAATATTTCTCAATGTATCATTTGAATTTGCTGGAATAAATAGCGTTTTTTGTTGTGCTTTGTTTATTTGTGGTACTGAGGGTTGAACTCGGGGCCTTGTGCACACTAGTACTCTACCACTGAGCTACATTCCAGCCCTGCATTTTAAAAAAGAAAACTGCTCAAAACATTTTTTTTTTCTTATTTTTCAAAAGGTCATACCAAGCCAAAGTTCGCCAAGGAGCATTAGCGTGTTTTCTTTCTACAATAAAGTCAATAGAAAAAAAAGTTCTTTATGGCTACTGGTCAGCATTTGTTCCTGACACGCCGGAGCTTGGGAGCCCCCAGTCTCTGTCCTTAATTACACTTACCTTAAAGGATCCTTCTCCAAAGGTAAGGGCACTTACATTGTAAGCTTGCTTGCTTCTTTTTTTTCCTTTTTCTTTTTTTGTTGTTGAGACAAGGCCTCACCATGTAGTGCATGCTGCCCTTGAGCTTTCTTATGTAGCCCAGGCTGGCCTCAGACTCACAGTGAGCCTCCTGCCTCAGCCTCCCAAGTGCTGGGATTACAGGTGTGCACCACCACACCAGCTTTGTAAGCTTTCTAATAGGAAGAAGAAGTTAACGTGTCTCCGTTTCTTTTCTCCACCCATTCTGATTATATCTGAATTCCATTCTTATTAAAACTGCCTTGAGACCTGCCGGCCAGGCAGGAGAAAATGGGCTTCCGTGAGCAGCGCCATGAGAGAGATTCTGTGGAGGCTGCTTCTGTCCCAGGGTTTGCGGGCAGCCTGAGCACACTGACCGACGACGTCAGGGTCTCCTTTGAGCTCCACTAAAGCTGCTGTGCTTCCTTTCCCATGAAAATACTGAGTACTATTGTGTTTATAATGAAAAAAAATCACAGATGGTTTCAAACGCTCAGTGGAATGTTATGGTCCAAAATGGACATAAAAGATATGTACAGCTTAGGAAAATGCTCATAGAGTTTTATTAAGCTCAAGATATAAGTAGTATTTACAGTGAGATCCCAGCAGTGGGTTTTCTTTCAGTTTTTCTGTATTTTTTCAAATTATATAAAATGAATATTTGCATATTTTAATGGGAAAAATTTATTTTTAACAAAAGAAGAAGAAATGGTTTGGTGGCCACAAATACCTATAGTAAGATATTCCATGGCTGAGGCAGTAACTGCTTTGGTTTAGATATGTTCACAGTCCACTGAAACAGTCCACCTCATCTTCTTGGTAGATAATAAAATTTCTAAATTCGCCCTCAAGAACTTAAGGTAGCCTTAATTATACCCAAAACAATTCTTATGACGAATTTCAAATACCCAGTATCCTAAGTAGTTAAACCAGCAGAAACTTTGCAACTCAGGCTGTGTCTGCAGTGAGACTGTGCCTGGGAGAAAAATGGAAAATGAATGGCAGCAAATGCATTAATCATCAAGCCAGTCTAGTAATTGGAAAACTATAAAGATTTTAGGTACTCTCCGGCCACGGGGAGTCGGCAGCAGCCAGGGAGATGGTGCTAGGGGGCAGGCAGCAGCACAAGTGAACCACACGCCATAGCTGCCCAGCTAGAAAGAAGGGAGACGGGAGACAGAGGGGTCATGGGGTCTTCTCTGGAGAGAGTGAACTGCAGTAATTTTCATGGTATTCTTTAAAGAGCTTACATTTGGTGCTAGGGAGATAGCTCAGCAGTCTAAGCATCTGCTTGGCAAGCTTAAGGACCCAAGTTCGATCCCCAATACCACATGCAGGCGTGGTGGCACACACCTATAATCCCAGCACTGGCGAGGCTGACATGGGAGGATCACTGTGAGTCTGAACTGCGTAGCAAAACCTTGTGTCAAAATTTTTTTAAAAAAAAGCTTACATTTGATTTAAAATGCTGTGAGAAATTTTACATATTGAACAGTAGTGGTCTTTTCTGTCTCCTTAACTGGGATATCTTTTGGATACCTTGGTATTTAAGTTCAGTGAATACAGAAAGTACAAGGAAAAAGATACATTACTTTTTTTTTTTTAATTTTTATTTATTTATGTGTGTGTGTGGCCAGCTCAGCCCACCAGGGGGTGGGGCTGGCTGGCATGTGGTGCTGGGGGATTGAACCACGGTCCCTGTGCTTTGCTAAGCTTGTTCTAAGTAGATGCTTTAGACCACTGAGCCATCTCACCAGCCCTTTTTTTTTTTTTTTTTTTTTTTTTTGTAGAACCGGGGATTGAACTCAAGCCCTTGCGCTTGCCAGGGAAGCGCTTATTCCACTGAGCCTTCTCCCCAGCCCGATACATTACTTTTTCTGTCTTAGAATCAATACAAAAGCCCAGGAAAAATCCAAGAGAAACAGACAAGTGAACCATTCTTATTAAAGTAAAAAAACAACAAAAAAGATGAAAGAAATGATTGAAATTAGTTCACTCTAACAAGTGAAATAATTGTACTCGAGATTTTTATCAAATATTAGCTTAGAAGGGTATAAATAAGTATGGTAATTATTGACCAGGAAGCTTAAGCCATATATCTGCAAATTTCTATCATGTAATTACGCATCAGGATACATGCTAGAAGAAGGTGTGGCAACAGATGACGTCAGACAGGCTCTTGTAAAGACTTCTAGAAAGTTGTGTGCAGAAATTAAAACAGCTTTTCTAGAAACTTTTTTTTCTAGTAAGAAACACACAGAAGAGGGGCCGGGGAGATGGCTCAGTAGAATAAGCGCTTCCCTGGCAAGCGCAAGGGCCTGAGTTCAATCCCCGGTTCCACAAAAAAGAAACACACAGAAGAAGTGAGTTGCCTCTTTGAATCAGAAGACCAGGAATAAAGATTACTTTTGGGAAACTGGAACATGAAATACTAGCAGTTACGTGTAAGGGAGAAAAGAAATTTCTTTTAGGGTTTCATAATATGGCAGTACTTGGGCAATGAAATTTGCATGTTGGAAATGTACTTCAGAAAGCACATGTTACATGTTTCCAGGAGTGACAGGAAATGAATAAATATAACATGACTAATATAAGAATTTATATTTTTTACAATGTCCTCATAGGTCTTACATGGATATATCAGCAAGATTTTGATGTAAGGAACACAGGGCAGACCTTTCTCTGGATACCTTGAGAGCCCTGACTTTCACTTACAGGATGATTTTTATTTCTTTTTTAGATAACTTATCTAAAAGAGATAAAAACAAATAAAAAGCTAAGTGATTGCATAACTACAAAAAAAAAAAAAACCTTAGAATTTTTAACTGTTGCAGAATGGTATGTAACCAAGCTTTCTTTTATGCGGTCATTTGGGAACAAAGAACCTTTACTTGGATGTCTCCAAATCTAGAGCCCCGGCCATCCTACTTACATTTCTCTCATTACTGAAACAAAATTCCTGACACCCAAAGTTAAGGGAAGAAAGCTTTACTTAGCTCAGAGTTTATACAGGTTTTGGTCCATAATTGGCTTGCTTCAAGGTAGGGTGGCATGGCAGAAGGGCGTCATAAAAGTGAAACAATTCATGGCAGGCAACATGTAGCAGAGTAATGAGGCATCACCACAGCTCCTTCTAACCTTTACATTGTACCCAGGTTACTTAGTACAGGTAGCACTGACACCCTTAATTCTGGTCCCCTTGAGCCTAGCCTTGCATCATAAATCAATCCCAGCATTGCATACTCCATATCCAGCCATCTCTGAAAAAGCCCCACCTCTTGACTACATGAGGTTTTCAAGGGACATGTAGACACAAGCCATAAATAACACTGACACAATGTTAACATACCTTCTCTTAAAAAACTTTAGTAGCAAAAAAAAAAATTAACCCTGAAACATGTAATAATTAGTACTTTACTTGGAACTGAGAGTGTAGTCAATCAGTAGTGGAGCTCGCATGAGGTCATGCAGTCCTCAGGAACAGAGCAACAAATAAATGCACTCACACAGTACTTGGAAAAGGTCAAAGGAGATAACAGCCTGTTTGTCTGTCTGGAAACCAGGAGCATGCCCAGCAAGAACTTTTTTATCACCCCTGGAATAACATCCTGTGACCATGCAGTCATAAAAATGGGGGGGACCTTAAGACAGCTACCTCAGCAAACATTTCTGCTACATTTTAAGTAAAAGAAAAAGAAAAAAAGGCTTTTCTATTTTATTACTTTTAGACAAGCCTTCATTCCAAGGGGGTAAAATTACATACTAGTAAAACCAAGCACACCGATGTTTATGAGATTGAAACATCTTTCATCCATCATTGTAAATACTCAGACAATAAAACTTAACAAAATAAGTTCTCTAGGGAGTTGTTCCTATTATGATTTGCTAACACATCAGCAATTTCTGTGGAAAGGGCTGATTAGAACTGGTAAACACGATATTAAATATTGAAGTAAAAATAACTGAAGCAGAACTTGAGCAAGTTCAGTATAAGTAACAATTTTATAATAAAGACATTAAGCAGAGTTGAAAGAAAATTAATTCAGAACTATACAAGGTATAACTTTGTATAGCATCAAATTTCTATATAGATTTTATACCTTATGGGGAAGAAAAAACCCACTTCAGTGTCATTTCTTTTGTTTCCATCTGTGGTTGTCATGGATAACTTCTTCCTCAGGGCACCAAAGTTAATTGAACCAATTCTTTTTTTTTTTACTTTTTTGAAAATCGTTTCTTTGTACAACCTGTTCTTTAATTTTATTTGTTTTGTGAGCTGTCAGAATTGTAGCTTTTAATTATTTTCTAAAGAAATGAAAGTTTAGCATGATACCTGTCTTTCTCAGTTCAGACCAAACAACCAGTCAGCAGTTGGCAAACTGCGATGTAGACCAAATGTCGCCCACCCCACCCCCTGATTTTATATGACTTGTGAGCAAAAAGTGGTTTTTGCACTTTATATCATTTTGTAATTATCAAAAGAATGAGTTTCATGGTAAGGTAAAATTATATGGAACTCAGACTCCCTTATTCATAAGTGAAGTTGTTTCAGAACTCAGCCATGTATATCCCTTTACATAGTGTCTGTATTCCCAGGGCAGAGTTGAGTGGTCCTGACAGAAACGCTGTCCTGCACAATCTGAACAGTAAAACGTCTGAACAGTAAAACATGTGCTATTGGTCCTGCACAGAAAAAGTTTGCAGCCGCTGATCTGGGTTCGTAGGTCAGCTGGCTTGTGTTCAGGTATTACATACTTCCCAAAGCATCATCAGCTTCCGGACTAAATGATTCTGCTTCATTCTGCAGACTTGTGGTGCACGATACACTTATTTTCAGATAACTACATCTGTGGGTCCACCACACAAAAGGCCCACAGAAATGATTTGTGGCTTGTAGGGTTTTTTGGTTTGTTTTTTGTTTTTGACATAATGTAGTTGTAGGCTCTCTGGAAAACTTTCTACTCTGAACCCACACTTCAAGTTGAGTAAATATTTTGATTTCACTCTAGAATTGTAAAATTCTTTGCTTGCTTTGGAAAACTCTTATCAGATGGTGTTTTATTGGTATTTTAGGGTGAGCTAGCCAAAGAGGGTACGGTAGTGCCCCCTTAATAGTCATGCATTTATTACCTGTATTCCAATCTAGCTAAGTTGACTTTCTTTTCATTTCTTTTTCCATTTCTGATTTTTTTTAATGCCAGAAAATCATCTATATACCAAGAAACTAATCTTTTAACCTTATAAAGAAAACCTTAATACAGTGACACATTTCTTGACATAGCAGTTCTTGACAAAAGTGTACATTTTCCCTGTTCATTATACAGTTATATTTAATGGTTTTCTTCTGTCAAATACTCTCACCACAAGGAATGTTATGATCTTTTTAGTTGGACTTAGGTTTGAATAAACTAGGCTTCTGATCTTTGTTTGCCTGTTTAGGATTTCAAGTTTTCATGCTGTGATGTACCTTAGACTTACTCCTTACAGTAAGAAAACCTAACAGCAATGTAAGACTTTTCTTAAGGTATGGCGTACAAGTGGCGTAGTTCATGACTGCTTTCAGAACCTGATAATCCCCTTGCCTTTATTTTTCTAATTAAGATGATTGATTCTAAATACTTTGAAAACTATATATGGGAAAGAGGAAATCTGACTCCTTAATTTGTAACACACTTGTATGTATCATCTTGAAATTTCAGACACGTGCCTGTGCACTGCAAGTTTTATCTGCCATATTAGAAGGCTCAAAGCAGTTTCTTTCTATTGCTGAAGATACCAGTGACCACAAAAGGGCTTTTATTCCTTTCTCCGTAACGATTGCTTCCAGCATTAGAGAGTTGCACAGATGTCTTTTGTTAGCGTTGGTGGCAGAGTCATCTTCACAGACCCTTACCCAGATAATTAAGGTAAATATTCCAACGTACATGTGATTCCTGAGAGGACTCTTTGCTTGGATTTTATATAATGTTTTATATCACCTGAAAATAACTTGACTTAAAAACTATAAATAATAATGTTAGTAAAGATATCCTATTTGCCAGGGATATAGCTCAGCAGCATAAGCACCTGCCTGGTAAATGCAAGGTCCCAAATTTGATCTCTGGTACTATAAAAGGAAAAAAAAAAAGGATATCTTATTTGGAAGTGTGTACCCACTTGTCTGATCTAACCTATAAATGTTGCTTGTTTGTTTTAGTAAAAGTACTTCTTTAGTATTAAGTTGTATCAATTTTTAAACAGGTGTTTTTTTTTAAAAAAAAAAAGATAGAAAAGGACTGATTTTCAGTGTGTTAGACCTTTTATTTTTTTTATTTATTTATTTATTTATTTTTGCTCCAAATGCCTTCAGGGCAGGTTTGGCTGGCTTGAGTTGTGGGGATCGAACCACAGCAACCTGAGCCTGACTGCTTTGTTGAAGCAGCCACTTAAAGAACTGAGCTAAGGGGCAGGCCCCCTAGACCTTTTAAGTTAAATGCTATAAACTTGTTTCTATGAAGTGGCTCGATCACACCTATCAATAAGCTGTTTCTGTGTATGTGTGTGATTTACAGTGCCTTGCAAATTTAGTATCAAATGCACCTTATAATCGCCTGAAACTCAGCCTGCTGACCAGAGTCTGGAATCAGATCAAGCCTTATATCCGCCACAAAGGTCAGTAGTGTTTTTTAAACAGATTGCTTTTTTACATCAATGAAATAGAAGTTGTTAATAAATTTTAAATCTTTATCAAAGGGGAAAGGGATCAAGAGATGGATGGAGGGAAGGATGGGTATGGGATGAACAAAGGCATTTGAATGTATTAAGTAAATGTACCAATGCCATACAAGGAACATAAACATATTTACTACAAACACGTGCCAGGGGATCAAGAGATAGAGGAAGGGAATAAAAAAGGAATTAAGATTTGCCAGCTTCCCACGAGGAATGTAAACGTTTGTACTACACACATGTGCTAAACTAAAAAAAAACTTTTAAAAGGATTCAGAACATTTTGTAGCTCTAAGAGGGTCTGTACTTACTCTCTTCAGTTTTCTAAGAGTACCAGCTGGCCAGGCGTGGTGGCACACACCTATAATCCCAGCGCTCTTGGAGCCTGAAGCAGGAGGATCACAAATTTGAGGCTAGCCCAGGCTAAAGAGAGACTGTTTCAAAAAATAAAAAAAGATAAGAGCTGTAGCTCAGTGGTAGAGTGTGCCTGGGTTCAGTCCCCAGCACAACCACAACAGCAAAGTACAAACTGTTACTGGAATCCCATTTTGGAACCCTCAAGTCCCAACAGGAAAAAAAAAAAAAAAAGATCTGGAGAGTTACCTGTAAAGGTCAATGCTGCTCTGTTACGTCCATGTCCCAGTTCCCCTCAATAAATGTAATCATTATGTACTGCAAACATGTACAGACCAAAAACATTTCATGCTGCTTCAGTGCTAAACAGCAGTGACCAGGGTGTCTTTAGAGATAGGAATGAGCCAAGTACACGTGGCCAACTCCAATGTATTAGAATTATTACATTTAGGCATAGGTAGATGATGGATGGATGGACGGATGGATGGATGGACAGATGTCATGTTTGGGGGAAGAAAAACTATAATACAAAGCCTAACTTCTTTAACATTATTCTGAAATTCAGATGAATCCCAAAGCTTCAGATCCTCACTGACTATAGAGTTTGTTGCTATGTCCTGTCCTTCTCCCACACATGTCCATGTACTATAAACACCTGCCGTTAGCACTTGTTTTTCTTCTATTTAAAGCTTTTAGGTCAGACCACATTCTGGTTAGCTAAGTTTTCATTCAGAATTGTAGGAGGAAACATGAATGTTTTCCATCAGTTGAGCAGGAAGACACTGGGCCTGAGTCAGTCTGAGGGTCTGCAACCCACTCTTGGTACTGCCATCTCATAGCCAATGGCCCCTCTGTACCCTAATTTTTCCTAAGAGGAAAAATGGTATCTATTCCATGAGGTATTTATGAGGCTCAAATGATACGATTTACAAACTTAAGTCCAGCCCACTCCTTATATAGGTATATAAAACAGGACTCAGAAACACAAGTCCTACTTTTTTATCTTTCATCATATTAACACAAAGAGCTGGCCAGATAGCTCAGCAGACTAAAGCACCTGCTTAGGCAGATGCACGGACCAGGTTCAGTCCCCAGCGTGCAGTGCCAGCTGCACCCCTAGGGCTCACTGAGACAGCAGTTGAGACTGGGCATGGTGGCATGTGCCTGTAATCCCAGTGCTTGGGAGGCTGAAAACAGGAGAATCACACAAGTCTAATCTGTGTAGTGAGGCCCTATAGACCCTGTACTAAATATATATATATGGCAGAAATAATATTGAACAACCCAAGTCTCCAGCTCCATCCTCTGCTTTCTGTTCTACTTGCTTTCTTTGTGTGTATGCTCAGCTGAGTGGAATGCTCATTCAAATATCTGACCTTTTTATTATTAATATGTTCAAAACCCGAAACACTTAGATCTACATCTAACAAAGTATATATAAGATCTATATGAAGACTATAAAACCATGATTAAAGAAATCAAGAACTAAATAAATTGAAAGATAATCCATGTTTGTAGATAGGAAGACTTGGTATTGTCAAAATGTCAGTTCTTTCTAACTTTGGATTCAATAAAATCCCAGTCAAAAATCCCATCAGATTACTTCCTGGGTATCAACAAACTGATTCTGATGTTTGTATGGAGAAGCAAAAGACCTACAGTGGCCAGCACAGTACTATTAGAGAAGAACACAATTGAGGGACTGACACTAACCAACTTCAAGACCTACTATAAAACTATAGTAATCAAAGACTTAGAATAGCTAGACATTCACATGAAAAAAAAATGGGCACAGACTTTTTAGCTTTTTTTGTACACTTTAAAAAAAAATCCTGGTTCATTGAAGGTTTATGCATTACACTTAGTTATTATGTCAATTTAGAGTTTTAGAATCAGATGTCTTCCCCCATTTTGCAGGGGAGTATCTGGGAGATGTAGTGCTAGTACTGGGGACTGAATCCAGAGGTGCTATCCCACCAAGCTGTATCCCCAGTGCTTTTTATTTTGACAGAAGTCTCGCTAAGTTGCCTGGGCTATCCTTAAGCTTGGGATCCTCCTGCTTCATTCTCCTGAGTACCTGTGTTTTTGCGAGTCTCCATTGTTTTGATTTATTGGATTGTTTCTTTATGATTTGCTTCATTGATTGCCTATGGACTAGAAATTCAGTAATTTCTAATTGCCTGCAGAGATAACTTTGATCCTTGTAATGGCAGTTCTCTGTGAGAAGGTCTCTTTCTTTTGACAGATGTTAACGTGCGTGTGTCAAGTCTCACGCTCTTGGGAGCTATCGTGTCCACTCATGCACCTTTACCTGAAGTCCAGCTACTTCTCCAACAGCCCTGTTCTTCTGGGCTCAGCAGTAGCAATTCAGCAACGCCTCACCTCAGCACTCCTGACTGGTGGAAGAGAGCCCCAGCAGGACCCTCTCTGGAAGAATCAGCACTGAGCTCCCCTAAGGGGTCCTCAGAGCCCTGCTGGCTCATCCAACTTTGCATTTCCACGCTTGTGCTGCCCAAGGAGGATTCCTGCTCAGGTAGCGACACTGGCCTTGTGGCAGGCAGCACCTACGAGCCCTCCCCCATGCGGCTGGAGGCTCTGCAGGTAGGCGTCTGCATTTCCTACTCAGCGGCAAGAGGGTTCCTTCTTCACAGGGTGACGTGAGGTACACGGAGGCATGGGAAACCAAGCCACCTGTCAGTAACACTAATGGTGTGGAGTTTTTTATTGGTTTGGGAAGGGTATAGGGGTTCCTGGGTTGTAAAATGCCAGATTCATTCCCTTTTGTTCTTTCGTTCCAAGCTATTATAATCATCTCATGTCTTCTGTGGCAGTTGGATATGATTGTACAGCAATTCAGAAAGGAATTACACAGTTTATCTTTGATTTCTGAAACTTGTTTAGTTCTTAATAAACTTCTGTCTGGTCTTGTGTCTGCTTAATACAGATAAAATATCTGCTCCTTCAGAAGAAAACAATTCTACATTTAAAAAACAAACAAAAACTATCTTTTTCCATACTCAGATACAATCTAAGCATAGGCTTGGTCCTTGAGGCTGCTGCTGACTATATGGATAGCATTAAACTTTCTTTAACCTTCTCAGCCTTAGCTTCTTCCTCTGTGAGTTCAATTATTACCTACCTTAACGAGTTCTAAGAGTCAAGTGAGATAATAGTAAAACACGATAACAAGCTATAAAGTGTCCTAAAATTATGGTACAACTAGTTGATGTTAGTCATAAGATAAAGGTTATGGCTGGGTTTTTTTAATCTAATTTAACACCAGAGTTCATCCCTTTGTTTAGTGAGCATGATTTCTGAAGTGTTAGAACACTTTCTGTATTGCAGCCTTGCTTGTTTTCAGCTCTTGGGACTCACTCCCTGCTCTCTCTGTAGGTGTTGGCTCACCTGGCCAGGGGCTACTTTTCAATGACTCAGGTCTACTTGATGGAGTTGGGTGAGGTGATTTGCAAGTGCATGGGCGAAGCAGATCCATCCATTCAGCTTCATGGGGCAAAGGTAATTTCATTAAAATTCACGTGTATTTGTCTTCTGAGATTTCTTAAAGAGATTTCTGGTAAGAAAGATACACATTCCTCTATTTTCAGTTCTTACATATAAACCTGTAGAACTGAATGATTTAGTAATAAATTAACATATAGATGTGTTTTTACTCCTTGAAAGAATATCTCTGCTGCAGGAGTTAATGGGAAAAGAAAAATCAGCTAGAAATTATCTTTCCTCTTAATTTGAGGTGTTTTCCCAATTGAAGTGCACGTGTTTGGAACTTGCATAGATCTCAGGCTCTGCTTTGATAATTATTTCTTTTATCTTGGCAGCTTCTGGAAGAACTAGGTACAGGTTTAATACAGCAATATAAACCAGATTCTGCTGTATCACCTGAGCAGAGAGTGCCAGTCTTCTTGGTAAGTCCATGCCCATTCATGGTTTTCTCTGCTTAGTGCTTCAGTTTATTTTATTTTGAGACCTAGGGATAAAGAGGGGGTAGATGGTAATGGTTTCTTTCATTGCGAAAAATCGCAGTTTATAATCTAGCATGATATGAAATTAGCATGAATAGATTTTATTTGCAGTTCAATATGTACTACAATTATTTGTATCATAACCAGCAATGGAAAAACCAGCATAAAACCTACCTTGGTTATTCAGCCTACCAAAGAAGGCAGAGTGAGCCATAGACTTTGTGTTACAAGGCATGAGATCAATTCTGAAGAACAACACTTAGTAGGTCTGTAGTTATGAACATAGCCTCTTCATATTAAACAGGAATAAAAACCTTTAAATCATAAAGCTATAGAAAAATTGAATGAAATATAAGGATGCCAGCGCACACTAGGTGCTCAGTGAATGTTCCCATAACCCCTTCAGTCTCCCCTCATGGTTCCTTGTCAATTCCTATGGTTTCATCTTGCTTCTATTACCCCAGCTATGACATTCTGTGAGTAAAGTGTATGCGATCCATAAAAAAAAAAAAAAAAAAAACAGACTACTCACTCCCCAAAGCAGAATCAGCTCAGTGTTGGTGTCCTTCTGCCCTCTTCATTCTTTGCTTTCCCTTTACAATTTCCATTATTTGTCAGTGAATTAACAGTGTCTGATCCTCATCCCTTCCTGAGACAGCCACTACCGCCCCCATGTAACCATTCTCAGGGGAACGGCCTGGGTTTCACTATCACTCAGAACTAGGCTTCGAATCCACACTTCTTCCCTTGCTAGACACGTGGCTGTGGACAGGCATCTTAACTGTTCACACTCAGGTATGGTTTCAACTCTAGAGAAGACACATACTTTCCATAGTATTTGTTTTGTTGCTCAGTAGTCAATTAACCCTAAACATAGAGCAACTTCAAACAATATACCATTATCCTGTCACACAATTTCAGTGGGTCAGGAGTTGGCATGATTGTTGAAGGGTTACAAGATCTTGCAAGGTAGCTCATTCGTGTACCTAGCCAGTTGGGGCTGGCTGCTGGCAGAAGGCTCACTCAGGTCCTCCCCATGGGGCCCTCTGCACAGAGCCCCTGGAGCATTCTCTTGGTGTGACAGGTAGCTTCCCTCATAGCAAGCAATTCAAGAAAAGGAGCAAGACAGAAGCTACAGTGTCTTTTATGATTTAGAAGTTTCATGCTGTCATTTCTACAAAGTCCTGTTGTTCACACAACAGGCTAGCCCTCCTCAGTGTGTGAGGGAACTGCATAGAAGTGTAAATATTAGTGAGCATAGTTGTGGGCTGTCCTGGAAGCAGCAGCCACACCTTCTGTCCACAGTCTGTAGGACAGGGGTGGAGCGAGACTAGACCACATTTTTAGGTATTTTGCTCCACAGATACACAGTCAAACCCAGGACAAAGTCCATGGAACAGAAACCAAAGATTCCAGCACCACAAATGGATTAGCACATGAATGTTAACTCCTAGGTCTTTTATAAAACATGGGAGCAAAAGTGTTCAGATGCCTACCTGAGGGGTTTTGAAGTGAGATAACTCTAATTTTTTTTTTTTTTTTTTTTAAAGCTGCTCCACAACCAAGTATCCCTGGTGTACCAGTCCCAGTGATAGGAATTTTGCATAAAGTTTACATTTTGTTTCCATCTCCCCTGTTCCAGGTGGTGATGTTCTGGACTATGATGCTGAATGGTCCTCTGCCTCGAGCCCTGCAGAGTTCAGAGCACCCGACACTGCAGGCAAGTGCCTGTGATGCCCTGTCTGCCATCTTGCCAGAAGCCTTCAGCAGTCTTCCGGTAATTCCAGCTCTGTTTCCTCCCTTTCAAGCCATGCCCAAAGTGTCAGAGCTCAAATTAGATCCTTTTTGATTTTGAACCATTTTGACACTTGCTTTGAGGAAAAAGAGGTTCTCCTGCTGATGTTTGGGGTGGGGACAGTGGGCAGCGGCAGACCGGAAAACCTAATCATCATCAAGAAAGCTGTTTTTCCCTGTGCTGTAGAAGGTAGGTGGGAAGCAAGTAGCTTTGAAGGCAGAAAGATTTCTTACCCAAAGTTATTATAGGGCCAAAGAGGAAAGTGATCGATGATGTAGAGTGTGCCTAAAGAGAGTCACATGGAGAGAAAACATTCTCTCAGGCTTTCACAGAGAGCACATTGGCCAGGCAATGGCCATGACTCATCCACATGGCTGACACTGACAAAGGATCTACAATCTGAGGTACAGGGTCTCAGGATAAATCCTGAGGGGATTTCACTGACCTTATCAGACCCAAAAGCTACAATTCTTGTTGCATAGATCTTGCTTTATCTTGGTCTTAACCATCCAACAGAAAAGTATAAAAATGAAGATTAAGAAGTAAAGCCATGCTGTTATGTTGAGCTGTAGGGGACTCAGGTCAACAGTTTCTGACATTGCCAGTCAGGCGGAAGACCCAATACTATTATGAACTACTGGACTCTTTTGGAATATTTTGCTGAGTTCACATACTTAAAATATTCAAATGATGAAACTAAACAAAAAAAGGGTATACAGATGAATGTCCATTTTGTATCTGTGTATTCAAAATGGTTAGGATAGATATATAGTTACATTCTCTTAATGAACAGAGGGATTTGTTGTGATAGTGTTTGTAAATAGGATATCATGTCTGCATCTTGTACAGCAAATAACTACTAGGAAGAGGGTATGCAATTATTGAAACTGTCCTACCAGCTTGATTTGAAACTGCCTCATTGCTATTTGTTTCTCAATAAAATTATGGAGGAAAAAAATAAATAAATAAAAATAAAAACCTGGGTTTAAGTCCTAGCTCTTCCACTTCCTATTTCTTTGATTATTTTAACTTCTCTGAAGTTTATATTATCTTAGGATGAAAGTTGTGTAACAAATAACAGAGAATGTGAAAATACTTAGGTTTGGTTTTCTACTGTATATGGTAATTGCCTTAGTATTTTGGGGTAATAAAATACCATAACCGAATGACAACAGAAACTTCTTACAGGGTTGGGGAGATAGCTTGGTGGTCAAGCATAGGGACCTGGGTTTAATCCCCAGTACCACATGCCTTGCCAGCTCTGCCACAGGCATACTGTGTCAGCCTTGGAACTTGGCACGGTGGTGCATGCCTGTAATCCCAGAGGCTGAGACAGGAGGATCACTACAAGTCTAAAGTGCGTAGTGAGACCCTGTATCAAATAAAATAAAATAAAATAAAATGATTTTTTTTTTTAATTTCTTAGGACTGGCCAAATAGCTCAGTGGATTAAAGCACCTGCAAGCAGGTACAGAGGCTGGGGTTCAATCCCCAGGCCTGCTGTGCTGACCCCACCCCTGGGGTGTGCTGAAACAGCAATTGAGACTAGGCATGGTGGCATGTGCCTGTAATCTCAGCTCTTGGGAGGCTATAAATAGGCAGATCACTACAAGTCTGATCTAATAGTGAGACCCTGAACACCCTGTAGCCCCTTCCCTAAAATGTAAATAAATAAATAAAAATTTCTTACAGTTCTGAGATTAGTACCCACAGATTTGGTATCTAGTAAGGGCTGACTCACTGACTCATAGGTGATGCCTTGTAGCTCACATGGTAAAAGGGCAAGGCCGCTCTCTGGGGGCTCATTTATGAGGGCGCTAATTCCACTGAGAGGGACTATACCCAAAGGCTCCACCTCCTAGTACCATCAAATATTATTACCATGAGATTTATTTTGGCTCATGGTTTAGAGGTTTCTGTCTGTGGTTGTCTGCCTTCAAGCAGAAACAGCATGGTGGAAAGGATGGGTAGGAAATCTGCTCATCCTGGGGCAGCTAGGAGGCAGAGAGAGAAGGTCAGGTCACACCTCTAGTGACTGCCTCTCATCACCTCTCAGGGGGCCCCACCTCCTAACATCACATTTAGCCATGAAGGCATCGATGGATGAGTCCACCCACGAGTGTGGTGCCCTGGGGTCAGTCACCTTTCAGAAGCCCCACCTCTGAATCCATGAGACTTCTGGGGGACATTGCAGATGTAAACTGTAATTATCACCTTTTGGGTGAGGATTCCCAAATTTGGAGGGGCCATGAGCCACAGCAGTATTCAGACTGCTCCTTTCCTGTATTCCTCAATGACATTTGCATCTGATCTTTTTTTTTTTTTTTTTAAGTAGTGGGAATTGAACTCAGGGCCTTGCTCTTGCCAGGCAGGCTTTGTGCCACTGATCTGTATTTCTAGCCCTGCATCTGTTCTTACTTATGTAAATTAGCTTCTACAAAGAAAGCAGTTTTAATAAAGCAGTGATCTAACTTACACAGCTAAAAGGTTAAATGTGATAAGATCCTGTGTGTATCTTGCACAAGCTAGATTCTTAGTCATTGGATCCGTATTTTTTTTGTTTTTGGAACCGGGACTTGAACTCAGGACCTTACACTTACCACTGAACAGGCCGGCACTATGCCACTGAACTAAATCCCTTTCCCATTGGATCTGAATTGAACCCCCATTTTACCAGTGTAGCCTCAGGGTCACTGTGGTCTTCAACCCCTAACTATGGAAAATTTCAGTCACTTGTGGAAGACTGGCTCATAGTTATTGCATCGTTGTCACCTTTCTCACTGCAGAATGACAGGCAGATGTTGTGCATCACAATGCTGCTTGGGCTGAACGACAGCAAGAACCGTTTAGTGAAAGCTGCGACCTCACGGGCCCTTGGAGTCTACGTGCTTTTTCCTTGCCTCAGACAGGTCAGAGTGATCCTGTTTCGCTCTTCTATGTCTCTTCATGGTCTGTTTTGTGGACGTGGAATTCCTGAGCTAAATAATGAAGGATTTTAACTTGCTTTGTGACCTGGTTGCCTTAACTGCTACATAAATGTAGTCATCTCCATAGTTCATTTATTTTTACTTACCACACTGCCCAGGACCCTCAGTGCCCAGTACGTTCTTGACTTAATGAATACCAATGAAAAGGAACATTACCATATGATAATAATTCGGAAAACTGGTCAGGTTTTACTATAGAAGTGAAATTATCCTTGTCTCTTATTTGTGACATTCATCTCACTGAGAGAAATGAATATAATGTGTCTTAGAATGCATTCCTCTTCAGAACATTGTTTCCCAAAGGTAGAAATCAACCAAACACAGAACTCAGAGAGCTGTCACAGGCCAGGTTACAGGGTGCTCACAAAGAGAAAAACCCTTGGGCTCCTCTCATGTCTGTGACAGAGACCTGACCATGGAGGATTTTCCTGGGACTACATGGAGTGTCCAAATTGTAATAGTAAGAACAGTATGTTGACTGAATAAATTTTGGTTTCCAAATAGTAATTTGGTGAAGGCTGATAGCCTTATATGAAAATAAATTTGAGAATTCCAAAGGCAGCAGTGTGAACTCCGAAAGTAATGCAGCATTGGTTTACCTCACAGGATGTCATATTTGTTGCGGACACAGCAAATGCAGTATTGGTGTCACTTCAAGACAAGTCTCTGAATGTCCGTGCCAAAGCAGCGTGGTCCCTGGGCAACCTGACAGACACTCTGATTGTCAACATGTAGGTGACTATGCTTGTTTTCTCTGGTAGCTTCTGAGATGAAGTCTGGAGAGGGTATTTCACCCTTTCTTGATGTAATCAGTCTTACTGATTTGTTTTATATTCCTTTAAGTAATAAGATTAATAACTTATTCTACTTTTTATGTAATGAAGATTGAACCCAGAATTTTCATCTCCAGACTTTTTTAATTTTTTATTTGAGATAGGGTCTGAGTTGTCCAGAGTGGGCTCAAACTTATGCTCCTCCTGCTTCTGCCTCCCAGAGTACAGGAATTATAGGCATGTGCCACCACACCCAGCTGAATAACTCGTTCTTAACACAAATGAGTATAAATACGCATATAAAAATACCATATGCTAATATGCATGACATAACCATATTGTAGAAAGTACAAAGTAGAAATCCAGAACCTTAACAGTTACTCTATTTTTAAAATACAGTTGTTTCTATTTTTTTAAAGTAATATATTTACAAGTTTAAAAAACTTCAAACAGTACCCTGGGGTATTAGTGTACAACTGGTCTCCTGCCCTAGCACTCCGAGTCCCCTCCCCAGAGGTACCTGTTGTTATTGTACCCAAGTGTCTTTTTTTTTTGTTGTTGTTGTTGTTGTTGTTGTTCCTCGAATGCCTTCAGGGCACTTTTGGCCAGCGGGAGAGGTGTGAGGTTCGAACTCCAGCAACCTGAGGCTGACAGCTTTGTGGAAGCAGCCACTTAAAGGCCTGAGCTAGGGCCAGGCCCCCCAGGACTTTTTTTTTTTTTTTTTTTTCCAAGTGTCTTGCTTTTTGTCACTTAACTCCATATAAGTGAGCTGTGTAAGTAACATGGCTATGCCTCCTCTTTTACTGACTTGTAATAAATCCTTGTTTATTATAATATAGCTGCCACTATGTCATGATGACCTCTCTATTTTCAGATATTCTCTCTAGATACACATTATATAATATGTGACACTGCTGAGTCAGAAGAAACATACTGAATGTGGTTTTTTTTTTTTTTTTTTTTTTTGGTGATAGTGGGAATTGAATTCAGAGCCTTGCATTTGCCAGACAAGCACTTATTCTACTGAGCTATCTCCCTGGCCCAGCATACTGAATTCTTGCTATAAGCTGAAGAGATTTAAGCTGTTTTTGTAAAGTCTTTCTAATTACATTTAGTGAACATATGTATTTAAGTGTCGTTCACTCTTTCGTCCAGTTTCGTGTTTTAATCGTACTGTACCAGCTTGCGGTATGTAATGGTCACATCCCTCGTGGGGGGATGGCACCTATACCTAGCACATCCTTGTTCTTTGTATTCTTCGCCTCCCCCTCTACTCTCCCTTTACCTCTTGGTCCCCTTCCTTTTTGCAAATGATGTTTCTCCCTTTTCCTATCTTTAAGTTTGTTCTGTATTTATAATTTGAGTTTCTCATGTAAGGGAAACCACGCAATATTTATGCTTGTGTTGGATTTATTTCATTTAACAATATGGTCTCCAGGTACACCCTACAGATGACTCCATTTATTCTTTATGGCAGAGTATTACTCCATTCTGTGTAAATACCACAGTTTATCTATTCATCTGTTGGTGGACACATAGGCACTCTCAAGATTTAGTAGTTAAGGGCCGGGAAGATAGCTCAGTGGTCTAAGCACCTGCCTGGCAAGCTCAAGGACCTGAGTTCAATCCCCAGTAACACATGCCATGCTAGCCAACAAAACAAAGTATGGTGGTACACACCCCTGTAATCCCAGCACTTGGGCGGCTAAGACAGGGTAATCACTATGAGTCTGAACTGCATAGTGAGACCCTATAGCAAATAAATAAATAAATAAATAAATAAATAAATAAATAATCTAGCAGTTAAGAATTGTACTAGGGGCCAGGGAGATGGCTCAGTGGAATAAATGCTTCCCTGGCAAGCGCAAGGGCCTGAGTTCAATCCCTGGTTCCGCAAAAAAAAAAGAATTGTGCTGGTATAAACATGGTATGCATGTATCCCTATAATATGGTCACTTTAACTCTTTCTGGAAGACAGCTTAGCTGGATCCGGTAGAATTTCTATATTCTCATTTTTTTGGAAGAATCTCCATTCTCATATTTTCATAGTGATAACACGAGTTTGTATTTCTCCCAACAGTGCAGAATGGTTCCTTTGTCCTCATAGCCTTGCCAGCATTTGTTACTTAATTTCTTGATGAGAGCCTTTCTTTCTGGAGTAAGATAGAATCTCAGGGTTGTTTTCATTTTCACTTCTCTCATTTTTAACCTGCTTTTCATGTTTTGGATGGAACAGGGAAACACCAGACCCAAGTTTCCAGGAAGAGTTCTCTGGTCTCCTGCTCTTGAAAATGTTGCGATCAGCAATAGAAGCCTCCAAGGACAAAGACAAGGTAGGGCCACAAGAAAACGTAGTATTTAGGTACCTGGAGGCCACACTTGCCGCTCAGCTGACAGCTCAGGGTGGTGTGGTATTCTTTAAATTGTTCCCCAAAAAGTGTCCCTGTTCAAAGGGGAAAGGGAGGCTATTCAGCATGTAAAGTGGCCCACTCCACACTTGCACATTTGCTTTACTTTCTCCTGTTTCATGAAAAATAGCATTCATATCTGCTTTAATATTAGCCTCATTTAAATAAACATAAATGTACATAAATATGGGGAAATAGCTTGGTGGTGTAAGCGCCTGCCTGGCAAGCACAAGGACTCAGGTTCAATCCCCAGTACCACATGCTGAGCCAGCCACCGAAACCAAGCGTGGTAACCCACACCTATAATCTCAGTGCTGGGGAGGTTGAGACAGGACGATCACCACAAGTCTGAGCTGTGTAGCAAAAGCCTGTACCAAATAAAAGATTAAAATTTATGTGTGTGTATGTGTGTGTGTGTGTGTGTGTGTGTGTGTGTGTGTGTATAACTGACAAGTTAGAAAGATGTAGTAACCCTGAGTTTGAATATTTATTTACACAGTAAACTTTAAAAGCATAGGCCAGATTTTAGGTCAGGGGTATATGGGTTCAAGTCCTGGCTTGCCCTGCCTGTGCTTATAGAATTTATTGCACATGTTAACCAGCCATAACTTCACAGAGTTCTGAGGACTTGTATCCGTCCATTGGGGTCCACATTGCATTAGCTCTCTTGCTTTGAGAAGCCTAGGATTACCTGAGCTTTCTAAAGTGGAAATGTACTTTCTCAAACCTCTAGAGCAAAATGGATTCCTGAAGCTGTTATATGTTGTTCTAGGTAAAAAGCAATGCAGTCCGGGCCCTTGGAAATTTGCTTCATTTTCTGCAACCGTCTCATATAGAAAAGCCCAGATTTGCCGAAATCATTGAAGAGTCTATCCAGGCCCTAATTTCTACAGTTCTCATCGATGCTGCCATGAAAGTTCGATGGAACGCATGTTATGCAATGGGAAATGTATTTAAAAATCCTGCCCTTCCACTTGGTAAGGTTGTGTCCCTCTCCTTGGTAAAGAACCTCTTTGGGAGGCACACACCAGTCTACACTGTCCTAAAGATGTTGCTCAAGTTTTCTGTCACAGGATTAGAAAACAATGGAAACATACTGTGGTCTCAAATTTAGGGTATTGGTGAAGTCAATCATTTTATACATATATATATATATATATATAATTGATTGAACTCAGGCCCTTGCGCTTATCAGGGAAGCGCTTATTCCACTGAGCCATCTCCCCGGCCCCCAATATTGCCTCTTAAATGCCTTTTATGTTGGCAACTTTTTTGATAATCTGAGGAACTACCTTTTATGTTAACCACTTATACCAGTCCAATTATTTATATACAGAATGACAAAACTTGCATTTTTTGTTCATTTTTATAAGCTAGCAGAACATATAAAAATGACAGGTTCTCAGATTCACTCAATATAAGAATCAGCTGGTTGAAATGATGCCCAAGCTACACTCAGGGTAAACTGCTAAGTGTTTTAAGTGAACTAAGGCAGGATATTAGGTCACATCTGTATTAACCATTTCAGTGGATGAGGTAGAAAAAACAGAAGGGAGATTGGCCTATTTCCAACAGTTGCCTCTGGATAGAAGACTGTGGTATTTTTCTTTGATTTCTAAATTTTCTATATTGGGCATATATTGTTTAAACGATCAAGGAAAACAAAACTGGAATGAGAGAAAGAGAACACACATTTGAAATTGCTTGCACTCTTGACACAGGAGTAGATGCTGCACATACCGAGGGCGTGTGCCTCTGTTGGGTCGTCATGCAGAACGTGCGCCTTGATGATATCCATGGGCTGGGGGTGGCTTAGGCCTATGGATGACAGCCTGCTGAGCCCTGCACTGAGCACCTGCGCGAGACCCACACGTCTGCGCCTGCAGAGGCTTGAAGCCTCAGACAGTGTGTGCCTGAGACAAGAAAGCTGCTGTAGGCCCCACGTACAAGCACATGCACCAAGGGAGGGGATCAGCACTACTTCCGAATTGCCCAGAGTGCCCAGGCAGAGCAGCAGGCGGAGATGCTGGAGGGAGATTTGTGGATTTTCCACTGAGGGGCTACATGATAAAGGAAGCCAGAAAACTAACTGAGGAGCAAGAGGAGCAGGGTAAGATTCAAAGACTGTGAACACTGGCCCCTTGTAAGTGGCAGTGGTATCCATGTGGAAGGGCCCGTTCACCTGTCTTCAATGGCACAAAGGGGGAAAGGGCTTAGAGAGGCAGCAGATACTACATTGCACTCTGTCCCCACCCTAAAGAATAAGGATTCCCCAGAACAGCAGGTAGCGGTGGTCTGGGGAGGAGGAAATCCAGTTGATTTCCTGCACCTACAGGAACAGAAAAAAGAACTCTGATCATCTTATTCTCAAAATCAAAAGTTCCATTTCTTTACAATAAAATGCATGACTTGCTGTGGTGAGAGCAATGTCCGGGTGCTCTTCTGGACAAGGAGATGCCTTCTTGCTAGCACGAGCAGCTGCTGAATATATTTCTGCAGGTTGTACACCACTCCCCAGTGTCCAGGGGTGGGGCAGCTGCAGTCCACTCTACCTGTGCTCCTCCCACCAAGAGTTCCCTTTTGGACAGAGTTGGGGGGGGGGTCTTTTTCTAGTCTCCAAAGGTCCTATATTGGGTAGCAAGGCCCTCAGCATGCTGCAGGCCGGTCTAGGGATAAAAGGAGGCTTGGGGTTGAGTATTGAGCCACTTACCTGAGATCCCAAGGGTGGTCACTCCCTGCCTGGAGCTGAAGGATCACTACGAATGGAGCAGACAGATAAAACTGCCATCTTGGTGTGGGTGTGCGTGCTTCCCCCAAAACCCTCTCCTGTGCACCCCTCTTATTCCAAGCCTTCACCAGTTTCTGTGGCTGGATTCTTCCTAGGCACAGCGCCGTGGACCTCGCAGGCCTACAACGCCCTAACGCTGGTTGTGACGTCATGCAGGAATTTCAAAGTGCGCATCAGGTCGGCCGCCGCCCTTTCTGTCCCAGGCAAGAGAGAGCAGTACGGATCCACAGAGCAGTATGCTCAGATCTGGAACTCGCTGGTCATCGCGCTACAGAAGAGTGAAGACACCACAGACTTTCTGGAGTTCAAGTACTGCGCCAGCCTCCGGACCCAGACCTGCCAGGCGCTAATTCATCTTTTGAGCCTGGCCAGTGCTGCAGATTTGCCCTGCATCAAAGAAACCTTCGAACTGAATGGGGATATGATCCGGTCCTATATTCTGCAGTTCTTAAAATCAGGAGCAGAAGGAGAGGACTCTGGAAGCAGCCACAGCCCACAAGAAAGAGACCAAATGGTGAAAGAGGCCCTGGAGCACATTAGCGGTGTTGAGACACTGGCTGGGGACACAGCCAAAAGGGCCATTGTGTGCTTTTTAGAAGATACCTTGGCCATTTATTTTGATTCTTCTGAATCACAAGTAGCACTTCTTGGATCATCAGATCCATGACTATTCCTGTATACTTTGCAGATGTCAAGTATGGTAGTAAGAAGACCCAGTCACAAGCGTAGCATATGTGGGCTTTAATCTTGGAAGCATGAACAGTCTGCCCACTATTTAGAATGGGTTAGCAGCTATTCCAGCTTTGTTCTAAGGGCTCAGCCCCTGTGGGGAATGAATGGCTCTTCTTCCTCTGGCCATGGGCAGAGGTGATAGAGGTTCTGAGCTGGGCAGCCGGGGGCCCAGGAAGAGGATGCGGGATAGGATCCACAGACTGGGAGGTTCTGCAGGATGTTTAGCATCAGAAAATAAATAAATGAATAAAATGTAAGCAGCTGTAAGAATTACAGTGTCTAAAGTTTCAGGTCATATTTTCTAAGTTTTTGAAATTGATTTTTCTACAAGGTAACAGGGACCTAGTTTCAATTTTTATAGTATATAGTTACTTAGTGTTCTTGGCACTGTTCGTTAAATAGGCTGTCTTTTCTCCCAACGTACATATTCGGCATCTTTTTCAAGAATAAGTTGGACCAAGGATATAGATCAGCGGTATAAGTGCCTGCCTGGCAAGAGCAAGTTTGATCCTGAGTTCGATTCTTGGTCCAGAAAAAAAAAAAAAAAAAAAGAATAAGAGGGCTGTAGTGCATGAGTTTGTTCTGTGTCTTGTGTTCCATTGGTCTGCATGTCTGTTTTTGTGCAGTACCACGTTGCTTTTATTATTGTGGCTTCGTGGTGGATTTTGAAATTGGGTGTGTGATGCTTGCAGCATCACTCCACAAACATGTACATGTCTCAGCTCCACACGAGGAAGGTGAACGTATATTACGGGTACCAAAAAGCCAGGAAGGGATCAAGAGCCAGATGGAGAGAGGAAGGATGCCAGGAAAAGGAGATAGAAAAAGGAACAAAGACGCATTACGCACATGCACGGACTCCACTCAGGGAATGTAAAATTATGCACTACAACCATGTACTAATAAAAAATGGTCTAAAAAATGGGAAAACATTCATTGACACGCTAAAAATAACAAACTGAGCCAAAATCAGCCTCTTCTCCTTAAAAAATAAATATCCAAGTAGAAGCAGTAGCTTATTTTGAATATGGCAATAGTGCAAGTAAATTATAGCAGTGTGGCAGGGTGGCCAGCAGATGGAGACAGAGAACGCAAAGTCCTTGGTCAGCAGGTTGAGCCCTGCTTTTCCCTGCCTTGACCAAGTTGTTATGGGAAGCACCCAGCTGGCCCTGACTGCATGTTGAGATCACCTGGGGGAACTACAACAACTGACTTATGGGTCCCCACAGAATCTGAATTTTGTGACCTGAGATACTGTCTTCCCACTGGGAATTTTAGAAGCTGCACTAGTGATTTTGTAATAGCACAGTTGGAGACCTGCCACTCTGGCATATGCAGTGAAGGGTCTCAAGCTGATGAGGTGCCGAACCACCTGGGGAACTGATGGAAACCAGAAGCCCAAATTGTTGGAGTCTTCCTTCTCTTGAGATCTATCAGGCAATGGAGATAAAGTGAAGAGAGTCAAACATAGAAAGTACTAAGCCCCCCAAAAACGTAGAAAATACAGAACCCCACAAAACGCTAACGTATCAGAGTAGCTGTGGGCATCAGGTGTCTAAGGCACTGTGTCTGTGGATGATGTGGGGGTTGGACTCAGCCTTGCACACAAGGCAAGCTCTGCTGAAATTACCCTTCAAGTAATTCCACAGAAGAAAAAATTTCATTGAGAGGACATTAAAACCACCAACTTCTCCCCAAGAATGAAAATCAGGGTGGCTCCCCCTGGACCATCTTGGGGTGCCCAGGAACAGTTTTCCAACTCAGTCAGGGTCTTTTTCAGAGAAGCACAGGCCATGCCCACTGTCAGGTACCAGCAGAGGTTTAAAACTGAGTGAGGTTGTCTCATGGCCTCGTGCTAGGAAGAGTAGGATGACTCAGCACCAGCTTCCTTTTCTTTGATCCAAGTGTTTAGATTTGTTTTCATATTACAGCCGTGGTAGAACATTTGTCTAAATAATGTGCATTGTTTTTTTGATATTATAAAAGCAAGTTAATTGTGGACCATTTAAAAAATGCAAAGTAAGAAATATGTGTAGGTGAAAATTGGCAGCGTCTGAGTAATCTTTATTGTCATTTTGGTATGTTTTGCTGCAGACATTTCTATACAGTATATATGTGTGTAAGAGTTTACACGTACGGACATCATGAATGTTCACAATCCATATATAGCATGGGGATTAGGGAAAATAACTGGATTGAACCTTGGGACTTGGCATTGACCTATATCCCTGGCCCTATTTTTATTTTGAGACAGAGTCTTGCTAAGTCACTAAATTGCCTGGGCTGGCCTCAGTTCTGGGATCCTCCTGCATCAGCCTCTCAGAATGCTGGGATTTCAGGCATAAGCCTGCAGGCCCAGCCTATGATAAGGGATCAAGCTACAAAACTATGGTCATATGTTACGTGTTTTTTTTGTAGTCTACTCTTTAAATAATAAGTATGTGCATTGACAGTTCTAAAACATGGCATTAAGGATGGGATGTTAATCTGTTGGACCCACATAGAATAATTGAACCAGTTCTCTATTGTGGAACATTGCTTTCCAATCTTGGCTTGATTTATGTGTAACTCTTTAATAGACAGCGAATCTTTTGATGTGTGCCGGGAGGCAGAGAGGTAGCTTTATGACTCTGAGCGCTTGGCCAGTTGTCTGCGCCCCATTGATCTGACAGTGCACCCGTCCTCCCCAGCAGCGTGGCGGCCCTCCTCGCTCACCTGCGTCGGCCCTGTGTTCCTGCGGGTCTGCGTGCATCCTTCCTGTGCTCTTCATCCCACTGCCCTCCTATTTCCATACTAGCCCCAATTTTTTAAAATTTCATAACAATGACCAGATAACCAACCAGGTACATCTTCCTTGGCTCCCAGACTGCATAAGGCTCACCACCCTTAGCTTGGGACTGTCGGCAGCAGCTAATTATTACCAAACATTGATTAGTGACTTTTAAAACAGGCACTTTCTGTTCAAGAGGAGAAAGAGGTTTTGAAGATTATGGGACTCATTCTTCTTATTAACCCCAGTTGTTGTCCTCAGAACACCCAATACTACAACAGTATATTGCAATTGCCTGTTTACCTGGCCATCTTCCTGTCCTCTCCACCTTTCCCTCACCCCACTCAGCCAGGTGCAGAGCAAGCTCTGGGCAACAGTCTGTTGGTGAATTGGTATGGTATCAAATATCCCTTTTACAGATGAGCAAACTGAGGCCCAGGGCAGGAATTGAAGATTCCTTGAAAAACCACTCTGTTCAGTGCTATTCCCTACACAGCTCTGCTACCCTCTGTGTGCAGAGGCCAGACACAGGAAAAAAAATCAAAAAACAAAGAGTGGTTATTTTCAAGTTTGTTGACTTCACCATGCTTGACTGTGGTCTTTCCCACACATGGCTTTCCTGATCACGCAAGACCCAAGAGAAAAACTTTCACACAGCGTGGCTTTTGGCTGGAGCAATGCATTAGGGATGAAAGCAGCCTCCAGGATGATCCAAGCCCAGCACCCACACCTCACAAGATGCAAGGCCCCCCACAGCCACACTGAATGTGGGAAAGAAGAGCCCTTTACAGCGCTCTGATTCACAGGAAGCAAAGTAAGCAGCACAGGCGAGTGGCAGTAAAGAGCGCAGCAGTTTAATGTTCACGGAGGCCTCCAGCACCAGCAGCTGACCATGCAGCGTCCAAGAGCTCTGAGACAGTGAAGCCCCACAGGGAAGGGAGGGAGGGAGAGGACGAGGCAGGTGGGCCGCGGCGCGCTCTGCGGCCACTGTTCATGTGCTACACTCTTCATAGCTTACTAGGACAAGGGAGCTATTTCCTGAGCCTGGACATTTGTGGTGAGAGAATGTCCAGGGATGGACAGATGAGGCACTCCAGGAGGAGGCATGGTGTGGGTGTGTGTGGCTGAGCATCCGGGCTCCAGAAAGTGCGCGTGACCCCGCACAGGGCAGATGGAGATCACAAATGTGAGTGTGCCGGGAGCTCGGCTTGCATCATGGAGGGTATTCTAGAAGAGTGCACACCACTGCAAGATTTGCTGTAGGGAAAGCACTCAAGTGACAGGGGATGAAGTGTGGATGGAGGAAGGAGGGACAGCGTTCTCAGCTGTGGCCACACACTGTGACAGTCCTGGCGCCTGGTGCCCACCTGCAGAGGCTTCTGGCATCAGGCTGGGGTGTGGCCTGAGTGCTGGGAACTTGCAACTCCCTTCGCTGGGACTGAGCTGTCACTAATGGTAACTTGCTGCAACCAAAGGAGAGAACCAGTCCCTGGCCCTTTGTGGAATGTGGACCCATTGGGAAAGGGAGGAGAAGCAACGGGCAGGACTTTAAAAGCTTGCCCAGAGGGCTGCAGAGATAGCTCAGTGGTCTAAGCACCTGCCTGGCAAGTGCAAAGACCCAGGTTCGATCCCCAGTACCACATGCTATGCCGGCCCCAGGTGCCGTGGGGACCCCAGTTGCCTAGCACCAAAACTCAGTGTAGTGGTACACACCTATAATTCCAGCACTGGGGGCTCTGAAACAGGAGAATCACTACCAGTCTGAGCCATGTAGCAAGACTCTATACCAAATAAATAAATACATACATACATACATACATACATACATAAATGGTACACAGAGGCACACTGGATGCTAGTCACAGGGAAGGACAGCACAGTTGTTCTTTGAAAACAAAATAAATGAATGGCGAAACAAAATGCTGAAAGTCTTCCCCATGGAACATTATTTAGCTGTAGAAATAATAAAATGCAAATACAGTTCCAACAGGGGTGATCCTGAAAAACATTATGCCTGGCCAAATATTGCAGAATTTCCTTTACAGAAAGTATCCTGAGCAGGCAAACCCACAGAGTCAGAAATCAGATCAGTGCTTGCCAGAGACTGGAGGAAACAGGCTAGCGTGGAGCTGGAGGGATAAGGTGATGTCTACAAAGTGCAGGGTTTCTGTGTAGGGTGATAAAAACATTCTAACATTCACTGTGGTGATTGATGACTGCAGAACTGAATAAAGCAAAAAGCATTTAATTATATACTTTAAATGTACAGATTGTATGCACGGGAATTATATCCCTTTAATAAAGGAGCTATAGCTGGGGAGATGGCTCAGTAGAATAAGCGCTTGCCTGGCAAGTGCAAGGGCCTGAGCTCAATCCCCGGTTCCACCCAAAAAATAAAAAATAAAAAAATAAAGGAAGTATAAAGGGAAAAGATTTAAGCATGGTCCTCAGATTGGATTTTTTTTTTTTCTGTATTTGAGGCAAGGGTCTAAAGGGTGTTCAGGGTCTCACTAACAGGTTGGAGTCATAGTGACTCTCCTGTTTGCAGCCTCCCAACAGCTAGGATTACAGGCACATACCACCACGCCTAGTCTCAATCGCCCTCTTAGGGCGTCCCAGGGGTCAGGGCTGGCACGGCTGGATCAAACCCCCAGCCCCTGTGCCTGTTTGCAGGCACTTTAATCCCCTGAGCTATTTGGCTGGCCCTTCAAATTGGATTTTGATGAGGTGTCAGACAAGTGATGGTTTCATAAATTGGTTAGAAAATATGGGTTAAAAGGACGAACTTGCAGAGGGTGTGATACTGATTTATTCATTCATTCAGTAGTTTTTGAGCACTGGGCAGTAAGAAATATCAGTGAACCAGACAACAAATCCCTTCCCTGTGGGAGAAGAAAATAGTACAGAAAGTGAATCAGGCTGTGATTCATGGCGCAGAGAAACACAGAATGCTGGAAGAGGACTGCGCTTACCTGCCCCAAGCAGTCAGGAAGGCCTCCCCGGGAAGGGGACCTTTGGGCAGAGACTTGAAGAAGGTGAGGGGTGAACATGAGGATTCCAGGGAAGGAACAGTCCAGGGAGGTGACACATGGGGCACAGCAGGAGGCGGGGTACCCAGTGAGTGAGAGAAGGAGAAAGGCCCCAGAGACTAGGGGCATAAGAAGTGGGGAGCTGG